TTATAATATTATACATAATGTATTTGTAGAACGCGATCTGACTGTTATATTATAAGACTATTCCCAAGGCACCTACGCATTAGCGTGAATATTTCATAAAGTTGTTTTTTTATATCATATAAAATGTAAACACGGTATAACAGACCTCGTCTGTAAATATAGACTGGATTCGACACAATCGATGATTTTTAATTTGTTAGCCACGCATACTAAAAATATATCAATTTTGATTTTATTACCTGTGTTATTATTATAACATAAAAAAAACTCCCTCACAACTATTATTAGCCCACCATAATTATGTACATAAAATGAGAACCTTGGGTCTATATAAGGACAATATGAATTTTTGACAAAAACGAGTTGGACTACTAAACATGTTCAAATTAAAACGGCCTACATATTATATTGTGAGACAATGACACGCCTAGAGCAAGAGTTTAAAAATTACAATTTAATTGGCATTTTTTGGCTCAAAAGAAATGTACATTATACAAAATTTGAACGGTATATTTAATACATTTCTAATATTTATTTTGAATCTTGATTTGTCTATCAATTGACATTTACATAATGCGATTCAATAATGTTCGTTATGATAATACAATAAAAATCTTTCTTGGAAATACATTTTATAGTTAAAGTTTTCATATTTTAGACTGTTGTTCGTTTGTTATAATATATGCTAGCTGTAGGCGAGTGTTGTGTACCAATTATTAATCTGTTAGCAATTTTGGTCCACCGAAATTTTCGAGGAGATGCTTATATTGGAAAAGTAATATTCACACTTATATTATCTGTATTTTTTATTTTTCTCAGATAAATCGTTTTTAAGCATTATTTCGGAATAGTTTTGAGCAACTAACGATTATTTTTATGTGATGGCAGTGTAACGGTTTAAAGCGCATTATTTTTAATTATTATTATTATTATAAAAGCTCGATAACGGCAATGCGTTTTTAAAACGATTTACCGAGTGCGATACATTGTCTGTTGGTTTATCTCGAACAAAGATAGAACAATATAATATATTATTATAGATGGCCGTGGCGAAAAGAAGAGAAAAAAGAACTTTAATAGTTACTGGTCTGACCATAAAGCGCTATAAAGATAATATTAACGCGAGGGCCAGTCAGTGTGTAAGACGGACAACCGCGCGTCTGACCTTACCCGGACCGGCAGAGATAGAGTACTTAACGCGTTTAATGAAGCAGACTAGAAGGAGAAAATTGCCGGTTAAAAGTGGTTTACCGTGATTAGAGAGCATCCATCAAACTGACGCTTTCCCGACATCGAACTTGTCTGATGGCTTTTGCCGTGTAAAAGTTTTTCGATTCTCCGCGACTTTTACAGATGAGTTATCCACAATGAAAAACCCCGGTGGATATTAATGCGGGCGAGGGCCGGAAGGAAGCATAAAAATGCTTAGAATACTGGTAAACTTTCGAGTCCCCTTTGGCCAGAGTTCGTTAAAACTATGTAAACAACACTGTAGATCTAATTAAAAATGTCCAAAAATGCCGGTATGTTATTTATCACGTTTAGTCAAGGGGTATATTTTCCAGATTACCTATTTTCATAGAGTGTAATTCATTTCATCCGCTCGGCCTCATACCATTTTTATATTTAATTAATTATCTATTTTATATGTATTTGAGTTAGGGCTATTACCATTTGTTTTAGTTAGGTTTTTATACTAAAGTATACTGCCCTCCTAAGCAAAAGAGCAGTAACTCGAAAAGAAAATTGTAAAAAACTGTTTTAACCAAGTAAAAAACAACTGTACTCGTTTACTATAGCTAGCTCGTTTACATTTGCTTAGCAGGGCACTATTAAGGGTTTTTTAGCCAAATAAACATATTGAAGGCATACTTAGGTAGGATTTATGCAATGCAGAAGTATATTGTATTATAACCAACAAGTATTGAAACATAAGTAGTAATAACTGTTAAAAACTATACAATTCTAATCGCTAACTAGATGATAAGCCATTTGGTATGGAAAAATCCTACTGGAAGTTTTTGAAACAAAACAACTTTAAGAACGCTTCCTTAAAACTTCTTAAACATATTAGATCTTCTAGCCTTAATATAAACTGAAAATAAAAATAAAAATGCTTTTAAGCCTTTAACTTTAATCTTCAACCTAAATCTTTTTCAACAAAACACATGATAAGTTTATACACGTCTAATTGAAAAATAATGAATTTTAAATTTAGGACAAAGCACAAAACGTGAGGAGCAATATAATTTTTACATTTTAATGCACTACTCAAAACACTTCTTTTATATAATCATTAATCTCACTAGTTATTTAAAATATTACTTTTATATATTTAATCAAAATAGCCTAATTAGTATTTTATTGAATTAAACGTCTGCAATAGGCTATTTAAATTGACCCAACAAAGGTTCAATAAAAAAAACAATATAAGTTCATCTTATATTATCTAAGTGATAAATACAATTATGATCATAAAGTAACGGTTTTTGAAACTTTAAATTAATTAATTTGGGACATCATGCATTTTCTTTGACGCCGTAAAAAGTAACACGGGTCGTGGAATCGAAACGACAAGTAAGTTAACAACTTTATTATAATTGCGTTTTACATAATTCAATTCTAATACTTTATTTAACATTAGCCTTTGTGATACACAAAAGAAATATAATTACGTTATGAAATTGTCAAAAGTTAACTTAATGATATTTGTTTAAGTTAAATTCAGTCCCTCTTTTTGTATAGTATACGTATTAAATAATGCTATCAAAATTTTAAACACAAAATACATAAACGAGTGGATAAAACACTCCCAAAGACTAATTTCGATAGGAAGAAAATAAATTATTCATGTAGAACTGTATATTATTTATTGAAACTGCCAATCAGGTTTCCAACATGTTTTGGTTGTTTAGTAGTTATTTATTGAGTAATGTTATAAAAAAAATACTGTAAATAAGTACATAGATACTATTTAAAAATTGATGATAAATTTAAACTTGGTAATAATTTATGAATGTCTTAAACGAGGCAAAAAGTTATTTGTCAGTTAAGAAATCCATTCTAATTGTGTGTAAGCTTTAAATTGTCTAAATATGTACTACGATATTAATAGGTGTGAATTATCAAAAAAATATATATATATATCATAATTAATAACAATATAATATATTTAGCCCATGCAGGTCTCTCAATGTCGTACACATTTTTGGCAAACAATTATTCCTGCGATCAAAATATGTAACTGAAAACTTATCCACCGTTTTTTAATTCTAACTTTAATGGACATGATTTATATTAAATAACAGAATACACAGTTTCGTCGTACTTGAAGTTGGTAGTTAAATTTAATACGGTTAAAGACAGGAATCTACAAAACATGCAGTCCTTATTATTATTACACAGTTTTGTCTTTGAACTCTTGGAGAATTGCATATTTTGCAAAATGAAGAATGTCATCAAACAAAATGCGGTTGGCCATTATGTACTACAAGATATATATAGCGACATGACACCGAATTTGCAAGTAACGTGTACAGAACTGAAATCACTAGACTTTCTACTGAACGATGCCTTTTGCTATTAAGAGTAACTACAATACTTCTCAGAAGTCACAATATTATCAAATGTGCACAGTTTTATAAAATCATTTGTATACGCGTTTATACAGATTTTTTGGAAATTTATAAGCTCCAAATTTTAATTTAACTTAAATTATAACAAACAATTTTGAATACAGATTTTGTTTTTTTTTACACACTATGTTATAGGTATATATTATTAGACCTATCTTCAGATTGATTTACAGCTCTTAAATTCGAAAAAACCAAAAACGTCCAATACCCATTGCTAGTAAGTGGGCAGAGAGGGGGTGTCAAAATTTGAGTTTGCGGGTATGTCTCGATAGAGGCATGATTAATCAATGTTCTATAAACATTTCGAATTGATCCAACTGTTTTTGCTAAGTTATAGCAAGTTAAAGTTTTGGATACGATTTTGGATCTATATAGCTGCTACTCGAGTGAATCTGTCCAGAGGAAACATTTATCGTGTTTACATTTACACACATCATTGTATAATTAAGACCTCCTCAGTTCCGCATCGAGGAAGAAGTTTCTCGACTATAAAAAGGTAGGGGTAATTTATTTTTTTATTTTGTGTCTAACTCTATGTATGATTTCTGATTTATACTACTAAAGTTCCCAGATGAAGATATCGATTCAGCGGGGATTTTATAGGTATCATGAGTCTAGGCACAAAACCAAAAACACATCATTACTCTTATCTTATTCTTAAATATTTAGTTTTTTAATTGTTAGTAAAAATCATTATTTCATATCATGAAAAATAGGTACCTAGGTGTAATTTAGGAAATTCAAACACCAGAAAATGACTTTCAAATAATGTAACAAAATGTTTTTGCCAATCATAATATTCGATTACCAGATAAAACAATTATTTTTGATTGTACCCAATAAAATTACCATTTACCAAATGCGATGAAAATGAAAATAGTATACTCCACAACAGTCAATACTCACATTGCATTCGGGTAAAAACGATATTATTCCCAGGAATAATGTTTAGAAGGGTTAAGCAAAATCCCGAGGGATAGGTTGTTAAGGCTGACAGGCCGGAAACTACCGCGTTTAAAATCGAAATTTCTGACACTATAAAGTTGTTTATAAGATATCACTATCCTTTTGGGATTGCCCCGTCAACCTGATAGACCGGATTCAAAAGGAATGGTTTATCAAATTATTTTTCATCTCGAAATTCTTCAATGGAACAAAAGGTGTAACTGATCTTAATTAATGAGTTTAAACTCAAGAAAAATAGCTATTTAGTCTTGTTATCACTAAATTAAAAAATACATGTCATGTACTACAACATAAATTGACTCTATATTATTATTATTTTTTTTTTTAGAAATAATTACTAGTAATTTTACTAGTTGTGTTGTATTAATAATCAATGGTTATAGTTATTATTGTACTCACTGCAACTGCTGATAGCCAATAGTAAGGCAACGTTGAAGGTAATTAGTTTGATCGAACTTGATGACATCTCTATAGAAATCTATAAAACATGACAAAACCGATTTTATTTATATTTTTATATATTATGGTCACGTGACTAATATTATAATTTTTGTGATATTATTATTATGTATAAAATAGCTAAGACGTGAGAATATTGCGTGGTTACTAAATGTGCGTTCCACATGCATGTAACAGTGACAAAATATAATATTTTATTACCAAATCTTAATAATGAATAATTTTTTTTTTTAACAGAATAAAAACTGCAGTATTTAAAATCGTTATATCCTATTGAGATTCTTTACATTATTTTTCTACAATAATAATAAAGTTGTAACTTGTCGCTTTTTGCTCACATTTTTCATTATTTCACAAATTGTTTAATACTAGAAACATGATTTTACGGTTTTAAACATTTAAATTATGTAACCTGTGCGCATATTTTTATTTAATTTATCAAAACCCAAATGAAAAATAACCGCTTTATGTAGCACTTAATTTTACAATTCGGCGACTAATTTTTAACTAAGAGCTATAGATATTTATCATAAAACTATGTTGTCAATCAATTTGATATTTTTAATATAACACCATAAACGAAAGTTTACCGAAATGTCTATAGAAATAATGTTATCGAATATAAGCATTTTGCGTCGATGGTGGTGGGACAATTACGTTACATAATACATATAATCGGTGCTACAAAAATTCAATACATTTGTTTTTTTGTTATAACTATGAGTGTTAAAGTTTAACCTAACGCGAGAACAACCATAGAAAAAATGTGTGTTTTCCAACGTACCTGTTCCCGCCAGTTGTCTATCTAAAGTGGTCCGTTTTATTTATAAGACTTCATTAAGGTGCACGGTAGTCGTTTGCGTGATAATAAATACGCACATTGTCTGGCAGGAGTTTTTTTTTTTTTCTATCGTTTATTATTTGATTAGATCTAAGGAAAAATATCTAGGTATACAGAGACACGGTCGAATGTGTTGTATTTTGTGTGTGTTTGGCAATATAGTTCGAGTTAAGAAATGACAGGAAAACTCAAGGAACGCGATACAGTCCCTGCGTGCAGGTTCGCTGGCCGACTACTGGCCAACGTGGTGGCAACGTGATTGGTATATACCGCGGTTACCGCGCAGGACCTAAACGGCCAAACGGGACGCCCACATTCACTTTGGCACATACGCCGTGCTTGCAGACGGTTGTTAAATATTGCATGTTTTCGCCACTCTCTTTAGTGCCCTTAACAAAATAAACGTACCTGGGCAAACGCTTGTTATTTGTTTGCGATACGGACATTTGAACGTGCCCCGTCGATACCATTTCCACAACTGTCCGGTTGTACCTACCACTATTAAACTGTTGTGCACTGTATTATAATGGCCCTAAACTTTGCATAACCATCGAAAACGGTATGCGACTCGGATTCAACTCTACGTTGTCCACTTTACACGTCTTAAAAAAAAATGCGAATACTTATATAAGTATTCGCATTTTTTTTTTTTTACTCGGTAAATGCGATTAATAATGTATCTATTATAGAGTTGACGGATAATTTAGAATTCAAGCTTATTCGTTGAAAATAATGAGTAAGGACACTCGCCTATATGCCCACCTCTTATATGTCAAATTGAATTGAGGATATTCAATATAAATAATTTTTCTGAACCGCACAAACGTTGTATCATCTTTTAGTGTGTAAAACTCGGGAGATAATCAAACATAGATACATTAATATATATATATATATATATAAAAGTCCTAACGATATTATATACTACTACCGTATGAGTTAACACTATGGTCTAATAACCCATATTGTAATTTTCTAATAACCAAAAATTATAACTATTTTTACATTATTATTATTCGGACATTATAATTATATTTTTTTAGCCAATACCTACATACAAATAATGGAACGTAGAAGCTATATTTAACAATAATACAACATATAATGTTTGTAAGCAAAAAAAAAACATGACACATTTAAGTTAAAAATATATAGTTGTTATAATTTGAAGTTTAATAGACAACGGTTGTGTTTATTTAAAATTTATATTTATATTATTATGTTGCTTAAAAAATAACACACGTTAAACGTAACGCTATAGTATCTATATTTATTTCTATAATAATTAATTTGATGAACTATACATAGTTCATCAAATTAATTATTATAGTTCTGTGTGACAATATTTAATAATTTACCGAAGTATATTAATAAATTGAGTTTTATATTAATTATTCATATTGAGATTGAAGACGAATAAAAATTTAAACGTATTATATAGATGTGCTCATTATTATACGTTGATTTAAATTTTTCATTTGAAAAGCTGAAACTGTTTTAAATCCGCCGAATTCATTTAAAAGTCTTTTATTAAAAAGATCAAAGAGAAAATGCAGGTTTTAGCATTTCAAAGTTTATTTTAGAAGTATCAAAAATTAGTATAATTTTTATTATTAATATAAAAAAAACGCCCAGTAATGCAAATGTTGAAAACTTATATTATACTGTATAATGATTGTGCAATGCACAAGTCTAAAACAATATTAAATGACAAAAAATAAAAATGAATCTGTAATTACTTTTCCCCAGGAAATTTGGTTTTTTATAAAATTTGTTCTAAGCATAACATTATATTCGTATAATACGACTTTTAAATTAAAATATTTTTAATTGTCTTAATGGATAGTCTGGAAACAAACGCAGTTTTATTTGGCGTGTTTACGATTTTTAGTTAAGCAAACAAAAACATAGTTTTATGAATTTATTATAAATTAAACAAGTTTACATTATTCGATGGATAAATGTACAAGCTACGATTAAAAAAATATATAAAAACAAAAACATTTGAGGAGATCTAAAAAATTAAGTTTGGATAAAAACGTTTTATAAACATATATCCTTCTTGTAATCCTTCAAGTTTGTATATATTGTGTATACATGTATTGTTCTAAATAATTGTCATGCTTTTTATCATACCACGAAAACCGAAGCGTAATTTTACATTTTGTAAGCTATATATTCACTCAAAATCACTTAATTTTTTTTTTTTTTGTAAGCCATCTCTTATTTTATCTTTTGTATATATATCCAGACAAATTTGTATTATAATTTTATTCCATCGTTTAATCTGTAGGCCGCGTCATCCGACCGAAATGAAACCGGGATTTGACTTTTATTGTTTTTTTCCTTCTTGAAGTACTCTCATTGTGAGCACAGAAAAAATGCAAACTCCTCTTACCACTGCTCGACGTCTTGATCTCCAGACTGAATTTAATATTGATAAGTTAATGAGTAAGGAAAAAACAACAGCCGGTCTCGATTCATGTCGACAAGCTGTACTGGAATAAAAATCCATAATCTTATATTAGAAAAAAAACCAAAACGATCACTACCAGAACAGTGGGGTAAAATCGCAGAGTAATTGAATCAGCCCGTTGGCTTATAGAAACTCAAACGTATAAAAGTGATAAACATTTTTTATGAAAACTTATGAAATGACATTAAATATCACTATAATTAAGACAATAGTGATCTTACATCATTTTTTAGCTTTTTCACCGAATAAGCTATGTTATCGCTTATATCTATTTCTCGTTATCATATTGTTTCATGTTAGTTTTAAATTTTCTGTTTTTACTAGTGTTTATAAATTAAAAATTAAGAAATCCCTTTTCACCTAGGAAGTGGGATAAGATTGTCAATTGTCATTATGTTCAATTCTTAAAACTCTACATTTCTTAATAAAATAATTTTGACTTTTAGCACAGTAGTTTCAATTAAAACTAAAAAAAAAAAGTTATTTTGTATAGATTGTTTTGTCAATATTTATGAGATAGGATGTCTTGTAAATTTTGAACTTAATTGACATAATATAATTGCTTATCGATAGGTTTTATACGTTTGTATAAATACCAAGTACAAAAATATGAATGTGCTAATAAATAATAAATAATAAAAAATGTTAATTTTTTTTAAAAATTATTTTCTAATGTTTTCGCTTACAATGTACATTCTCATACGCGCAGGTTAAAAAATAAAAACTACACAAATATATATATACGCATTTAAAAATAAACGTTTTATACTGGCAAGTTATAAATTATAATACATTTGCTATATCATTAAAATAAATATTCATTTTTTTTCGTGAACATGTTAAAACAGAATCTTGTTAATTTATTTGTTCTGATCATTTTTTTGTTGGCAAATAATTGCTGTCTGAAAACGAGGCGTTATGTATAAAGTTTATTTTGTTTGGCTTTAATTTTTTTTTCGCTGAGTTTAATTTCGGTCGTCGTTTCGTTTTTGATCATTTGACACAATCGGTTTTTTTTACTCTTTCGTCTTTAAAGTCTCCATTACGAGTAAGCCAAAGAGGGTTATAAAACGAACCCACCCTTTTTGTAAAAGCGTAAAACGACACAAATTGTTATTGACCTACGTCTTCAACACACCCTAATTGTTTTAAGAAAATACACTTTACTTAGTATCGACACGATACATCAAAGATTTTCTGCGGATCGTATAATCAAATAATTTAACGCTTCTTTTCTTATTGACTGACCTAGTTGTGATTGGCTTATTAAAATAGATAAGTTTCTAAGTATCTCTTAAGTATCGATATAACAATTAAATATTTACTATAGATATGATAACTATAAGGTTCAACTTGAGAATTAACTCTTATTTATAAGTCGTTTACAATCCACCACGTTCGACGATTCAACTACTTGAAAACCTACTGCCACTTTTTCTTATCGATGTCATAAAAAGCAAACTCTTTGGTGTTCCTTAAGCGTTAATAATATTCAACTTGTTATATACATTTTATTAACGACACATCGTGCCAAGTTTTAATGTTTCTTACAACCATATATTATTGGTTTGCTTTTACAAAAGGAAATATATATAGGTAAATATTAAAATATTTAAAAAAAATTGTAGGTGATCATCTTGTTCGTATTATGCATCGGTACTATATTATTTTTCTATATTTTTGCTCTACAATAGATTACATCGATTATCCATTTGAGCCAATGACCCGCTCAACGTTGCAGCAGCTGTACTCTTGTACCCGTACATCCAACAATAGTCTTCGAACAACAAGCCAAGCCAAATCGAACGCAAATCCCACGATAAAACCAATCTGGCATCCAAAGGATTATCTTATCAGCAGCAAAACCGCGTCAAGAGTGAATGCAACATAACATCATTTAAGTTTTAACTCGAGTATTGCTAGGATATCCATTTGTAAATACAATTGAAGTGTTGCAAGTAAAAAGTATTGTTAATTGTAGAGAAGAATTTAAATTCTACAATTTACAAGATTGTAAATGAAGTTTATTATTAACGTAAGTCACTCTTTTTCGGAAGTGCATAGAAATCTTTGAAAACTCTATAAAATATAATAATTGTACAACACTATAGAGTAAGGTACCTGGATAAGTTCAAATTTTCTAATTAATTTTGAATTCAATAATTCAAACGGGTATAATCCTTATGTTGATCGCTGGACGATTACTTGACATACAGAAACATATTTCTAGTTGGTTATCATTAGCAGTTTGTACTACAATATTAGCCCGTTTCATAGGATAGTAACTATATAGCGACAGACTTGTTTTTCACTAATACTGAAAACGGTTAGGTTAGGCACGGTGAAGCGTCAATCACACAATTTGTCATCCAATAGATGAACGCTAATATACATCAGTAGATACTGTGAACTCTATAGCTGCTCCGTCATTAAAATTGGATGTTAATAGCTAAATGTCGAATTAGTGCATTTGGACAGTGATAATGGACCGCTTCAATATGACCTTATCTTGTCATTTGGAGATGCGTTATCCCAACGAATAGTAAAAGGGTATGATATATCACGTGTTTTCATAACGTATCTGCAACTGGATCGAAGTTGTCTGAAATACACAGTAAAAAAATACATATAAATCTATTTAACCCAATCGTTTTAGTCATTTGTAGTTGGCATAGTTACATATTATTGTTGTTGCATTGCAGTCTATTGCGGGTGCTAAACAAGACAATTATTATGCACCGGAAAAG